CTTGGAAGCATGGAGGAAATGATTCCTCTGTGTTGACCCTTCTCTTTGTAGACTGGACACTGGTAAAGTCCATCTGGTGGGTTCTCCTCAGCCTCTTTGATCAAGAGGAGAGGTGACCCACCACAATTACAGGACATTTTGAGAGATGCTCATAGTCCCTTGGAACTAGTCAACCTAGGAGGGCAAGGAGCAAAAACTGTCCTTTATGTCCCTCTGACCAAATTATTATAGGCCTCAAAGTATGTCTGTTAAACATCCAAGGTTAGTTCCACCAGTCTGGTACTTTTTCTTTTTTGGTCTTTTTGAGACAGGGTGTCCCTGTAGCCCCAGCTGTCCTGGAACTCACTATGTAGACCACGCTGGCCTTTAACTCACAGAGATCCACCTGCCTCTGTCTTCCGAGTGCTGGGATTAAAGGCGTGCGCCACCATGCTCGGCAAGCTTTACTATTATAATCCTTATCAGGTTATGAAAGTTACTCTCCTAGTTCTCTAAGCATCTATGTAAATAGTTGCAGAATTTTGTCAAGTGGTTTTCTGAATCTACAGGCTCCCAATGTACTTTGCTAATTTAACGATTTTAGGCTTTTCTTAGGATGCTGTCCTGTGTTTTATATATAATTCTTTCTTTTCCTTTACCTCCCTGTTTCCTTTCCATTATCCTGGTTCCTGTAGTTATGTCTGGATACATACTCACTTATCAGGGTTTGGTTCTAGGATCCACATATGAGGGAGAACATACATCGATTTTTTTTTTCTGACTCTGCGTTACTTCACTTAGCATAAAAGTTTCTAGTTCCATCCATTTGCCTGCAAATTTAATGATTTCATCTTTCTTTACTGCTGAGTAAAACTCCATTGTATAAATGAACCACATTTTCATTATCCACTTGTTAATTGAGGGACACTTTGGTTGCTTCCATCTCTTCGTTATTGTGAAAAGAGCAGCAACAAACATGCATGTACAAGTGTCTCTGCAATAGGATGAGTTCTTTGGGTATATGCCAAGGAGTAGTATAACTGGGTCAAATGGTAGGTTCATT